TTTTCCACCCCAGCTGCTCAATGTATCTTAAGTTGAACTATTGGGAGCCTTGCAAGATATCCCATCTTCGGCTCTGCATTTGGCCACATCTTCTTTTCCAATATCTTATAAAGGAGTCTAAAGGGAARGTCCCTTGTGATGACCCCTATWATATTACWGAATTCATTTCTTTATGTGCCCACCAAAGTAACTTTTTGATAGCGTTCCAAGGCCTGAAGTTTAGCAAATTTTAAGTGAGTTGAATGGTCTGCTATTTAATCGTTTCCCATTTCATTTCAATATATTCCTGTATGATTGGGTGCCTAAATTATATTAATTGAGTAATATACTGGGAGTCTTGTCTAGAGTCTCAAGTCGGAACTATAGTTATTTAGTCTGAAGCTACTTTCTRTGTATGGATTACTACAGAAGAAGCTACCAAAGCTATTAATTTCAAATGGAACTTTATTATTTAAGCTCTACAAGAACCGATAGTCCCAGTAGACTCCGGTGATAGGGCCCGGAGCTTATACAAGTATGATGAAGATGCCATGCTTTGTAATAGCTATTTCAGAGGTAACCATACATAGTGCATCATTGAACAATGCAGATCATAAAATGCTTGACCGTTCAACTATAAATTTATAGTCCAGAATGTGTGGCTTTTCGATATTTTGAACTGTCTCTATGAAAAGTAAARCAATTTTCGGTTAATAATCTCTCAAAAACATACTTTTTCGAGAATCTATCGTTTAGAATCTGTTTAATAGTCATGAATTTCCGATATTAATAATTTTTCTTTTATAAAAAATATATGAAACTCTTGCTATTGAAACATTTTAAATTACCACGCATTACTTCTCTCTCTCGCTCACTTTCTGCTCACTCTCTGCAGGAAACTCAGCACTCACCATTGGATGGCCACRCCACAATCTTGGCACACAACCACCAAGCAGATGATGTCAAAATGTTGAATGGTTCGGTGTCGTCGCGTGGCAGTTCGCCAGCTTTGGAGCATGAAGAACAAGAGCAGCAAACGCAGAAGCCACAACCCGCTTGCATTGTGCGCACACTGAGCATTGTAAGTGCAAAGTAAACAAAAAATTACACAAAAATAAAATTAAATACGTTAAATTATTTGCAAACAATGAAATATACTCTCGCATATAAGTAATAAATACTAGAGTGGGAGCGTTTAAAAGCATATGCGGTTAATTTATAAGCATGCCCTGTCGGAACTTTTAATGAAGGCCGCCACTTTAGTCATTTATTCTTCATATATTTTTATAACCTGAACAGAATATACGAGTATTAATATTTGCTTCGGAGATCTTATATATACTTATAAATGATTAGCGTGAGGAGCTAACTCGATTTAGCCATGTCTATCTGTATGTCCGTATCCTAGTTTTCGAACCATCAATGTTGCTCATATGGTCTTCTCTTCAAGCAGCTACTAATTGGTCGGAACAACTGATATCGGACAACTATTTTATATAGTTGTCATACAAACTTTAAGATCAAAGTCAAGCCCTTGTAAGGAAAAATTTTTTATTTGACAATTTATATTCACGAAATATCACACAGATTGTTCTCCAAGGTAGTGCTACAATATCTCAATATAGTTTTCAGATCAGATCACTATTTAATATAGCGGTCAAACAAAATGCCCCATTAAAATCAAACAGTTGTACGAAAGACTTTTTTATTTCACAAGGTATGTTCACGAAATTTAGTAGAAATTATTATCCAAGAGAGCATTACAATATCTGAAGGAATTGTTCAGATCGGATGACTATAGCATATAGGTGCCATACAAACTGGYCGCACAAAATCAAGTTGTTATATGGAAAACTTTTTTGTCTGACAAATAATCTTTACGAAATTTGGTACAGGTTATTATCCAAAGCAATGCTATAATCTCGAAAGAAATTGTTCAGATCGGACGACTATAGCATATAGCTGYCATACAAACTGTTCCAACAAAGKGAWGTATATAGGCATAAATTATTGCCATAACGAAACAGTACCACTCGTACGAAACTTTTCCTACAAGGTACACATATTCGCATTTAAAAATATTAATATACTAAATCACATACATAACATGTGCGGCTTAAAAATTGAAAAATTAAAAACATAACCAATACAATGCAGGGYAGCAACGAATCAAAAAAATTGCCTTTGTCATAAATTAAGTTAACAACGAAAAGCACTAATTGCTGGTGAAAAACGCAAATGTGCAAACACTCACTCACTTGCGTGCAATTGCCTTCAGTTAGCGTAAATAAAAAAACAAACAGTTATAAATAATGCGACACATGCGCTCAGCCACAAGTTGGGTCGCGATCAATTTCGCAAACAATTGAAATTAAAAGCAAAATATTGACAATTATTCATTTACTTATTTGTATTTGTATTTATTTTTTCTCTCACTCTCCCGCTCACTCTTGCACACAAAGGAAGCGGCGACCACACCGASTACAACTGCCAACTTGATGGCCGGCACTCTGGCTTTAAGCCTTACAAATGGCGTTGGCAATGCCGCCACAACAGCAGCAGCGGAAATCAAATAAATAACAACAACATTGGCAGTAATCGCGTGACTTATATAATACCATACATACATAAACATATAACCCAGCAACACGAACAAAAGTCAAATTAAAATGGATGCGCGTCTGGTTGCACATGGCGTATGAGTGACGCATAGGATATTACAGCTGCCGTACAAGTCACATACTTATWCATACACATTTAATATATGAAAAGCATGTGTGACTCGTTTGCGGTAGGTGGAATGTATACTTATATTGTTATGCAAATTTGATGGCGATTGAAAAATTAGCAGTAAACTTGATTTCTCTTTGTGTCCTTTTTTAATAAAACGAATATTTTTGTGAAAAAAAAAATATTAATAATAGTGAAACGTGTAAGCACAAACCAAAATTAGAAAATTAAGTATTGTACAATATTTTAAGCTGCCTTGGTATTGTATATTGCCACATTTAGAAGGAGGAAGTTGATTTTATAAGGAAGAGAAAATAAAAAAAAAAATTATTTACTTTTAATGCTCGTAATGAATAGTTTTAAAATCACATTAAAATACATTTTGAARGCCCTTGTACATAGATTGTTTAGCCCAAACATCTGACGGAGGGTAGTCACAAATATAATATTTTCCTCTTGGCAAAACCTACCGTTTGATCAAAATTAACTTGGACTGACAAAAAAAAACTCTACTTTCACGTACTTTAATTAATTTTTTTATTATTGTCTTCAAAATAGGCTCTTGATATACATTCGTTATAAGCCTTGTATGATGGCTTCCGTGCCTTTATCGAATTTATTCGCTAGTAATACTTTCTATACAATCATCATCGAATAACCGCCCAACGCCAACGCAAGCCGTCCGCTTATCGCACGGTGCACAGCCTTGTCCGTTTGGGTCTCACTTCCCATCCCTGCTCTCTCTCCGGGAGACTGTGAGACGTCCGCCCTAACGTAGGTTGAGAGGACAACACACATTGTCTCAAAGCCGTAGCTGAAAATGTCGATGACAGAACCGTTGACCTCTTCGTTCAGAAGAATCAGTGCCTATATTCTCTCGAGCCTTATCACCCCCAGGACGCGAGTTGGCCGAGACGGCTTGCTGTAACGCAAAATGTCATCTATTTTCGTAGATAGACGGATCACCTTTATGGAAATCGCGGATATAACCGCTGCTATCTATTTCAACTTCTCGCGGAGGATGCTCTTATATTCTGTACTACTATCACATAGACCCAGTTCTATTGAGTCCGCTTGGTTAGTGATTTCGTTGAACGCTGGTGCTCCGATGCGATGCTCATTACCCAGAGGGGATTTCCTTACGTACCACCTCTGCGACTTAACTATAAGCTGGGACTCGTTAGAGCTGGCTGAAATGCCGTCCTTGCCACCCCTAAGTACCATTTTAGTCCACTCAATAGTCGCAGCCTGCTGCCCAGATTCGTAAACAGTCAACCCGCTACCATAGCGAGCTATTAGCTAATATATGGCGGTCCAACTTCAACTGCCTTGCTGTTGTCGCCTGAGTTATACCCTGGCTTTTAACCCCAAATATATAGTACCATGAATAAGGCAGAAATTCGCCTCGCGCCTCATCTCTGCAGACAGGTTTCTGTTTACTGGCTTACTATTACTAGTCGGTAATGGCGTTTTCAGAAGAAAAGTTTTTTTCGTTCTGTCGTGGAGAACGATTCCTTGGCCACCGGCGACCAACCCAGAACATCTGCCAGGGTTTAGTATGGAATACATTGACTGTCAAGCTGCCGGGGTAGCATGGTCCGGGTTAAATGCGAGGTCAAGGTTCTTTGGGAATATTCGCAGTCCGTAAAGGCTGGCGGTCATTTAGCGTTATTCAACCTTTGATCCCAACTTTATGGGTATATAATCCACATTTTCGAAATGCAAAACTAACTTTTTTGTTTGGTTCTTGCCTTCACAGCGTTCTTAGCACTTTTTGACCATTTTTACGTTCTCAGCCTCAAAGTCAAATTTACAGTCACTAAGTGACTATTTTTTCTTCTTAGAAGAAAATTAGTTTTCTCAATATACAAAGAAGTCATATAAAGTTTGTCGGGCTTATNAAAAAAAACTCTACTTTCACGTACTTTAATTAATTTTTTTATTATTGTCTTCAAAATAGGCTCTTGATATACATTCGTTATAAGCCTTGTATGATGGCTTCCGTGCCTTTATCGAATTTATTCGCTAGTAATACTTTCTATACAATCATCATCGAATAACCGCCCGATATTTAAGGCAGAATTATTCGTCGTCGATCTGCGCCCAACACCAATGCAAGCTGTCCGCTTATCGCACGGTGCACAGCCTTGTCCGTTTGGGTCTCACTTCCCATCCCTGCTCTCTCTCCGGGAGACTGTGAGACGTCCGCCCTAACGTAGGTTGAGAGGACAACACACATTGTCTCAAAGCCGTAGCTGAAAATGTCGATGACAGAACCGTTGACCTCTTCGTTCAGAAGAATCAGTGCCTATATTCTCTCGAGCCTTATCACCCCCAGGACGCGAGTTGGGCGAGACGGATTGCTGTAACGCAAAATGTCATCTATTTTCGTAGATAGACGGATCACCTTTATGGAAATCGCGGATATAACCGCTGCTATCTATTTCAACTTCTCGCGGAGGATGCTCTTATATTCTGTACTACTATCACATAGACCCAGTTCTATTGAGTCCGCTTGGTTAGTGATTTCGTTGAACGCTGGTGCTCCGATGCGATGCTCATTACCCAGAGGGGATTTCCTTACGTACCACCTCTGCGACTTAACTATAAGCTGGGACTCGTTAGAGCTGGCTGAAATGCCGTCCTTGCCACCCCTAAGTACCATTTTAGTCCACTCAATAGTCGCAGCCTGCTGCCCAGATTCGTAAACAGTCAACCCGCTACCATAGCGAGCTATTAGCTAATATATGGCGGTCCAACTTCAACTGCCTTGCTGTTGTCGCCTGAGTTATACCCTGGCTTTTAACCCCAAATATATAGTACCATGAATAAGGCAGAAATTCGCCTCGCGCCTCATCTCTGCAGACAGGTTTCTGTTTACTGGCTTACTATTACTAGTCGGTAATGGCGTTTTCAGAAGAAAAGTTTTTTTCGTTCTGTCGTGGAGAACGATTCCTTGGCCACCGGCGACCAACCCAGAACATCTGCCAGGGTTTAGTATGGAATACATTGACTGTCAAGCTGCCGGGGTAGCATGGTCCGGGTTAAATGCGAGGTCAAGGTTCTTTGGGAATATTCGCAGTCCGTAAAGGCTGGCGGTCATTTAGCGTTATTCAACCTTTGATCCCAACTTTATGGGTATATAATCCACATTTTCGAAATGCAAAACTAACTTTTTTGTTTGGTTCTTGCCTTCACAGCGTTCTTAGCACTTTTTGACCATTTTTACGTTCTCAGCCTCAAAGTCAAATTTACAGTCACTAAGTGACTATTTTTTCTTCTTAGAAGAAAATTAGTTTTCTCAATATACAAAGAAGTCATATAAAGTTTGTCGGGCTTATWTAGGTTAGATTAGATTAATATGGTGGGACAATCAGCAGCACATATACCAGTTTTGGTCCTTTGTGATAACAGATGGAGCTCARTTGCTAGGTTTATGAGGAGTAGTTCTCTTTTAGGTTGCCTGCACTTGWCGCGAATTTTAACAGAATATGCWGTCTGGACACCAGARKCTTAGAGCGTAATTTTGCYAATGCGGAACASGTGAACAAGATGCTCCATTGTTTTYGTKKTGCATCGCTCTAGACATTTCYTGAAGTCTTCTCGATGTGTCAGCCCCATTATGTGATTCTGCGGGCGTGTGTTGYCACCAGACTCTTCTATCRCTTGCCAATAGGAATTTTGTGTACTCTTGACTTTTGCTGTTTTGCACCCAGGTATYTCGTTCCACCAGGCTTTAATTTGCTTTACCATGCTTYTGTTCAGATCATCGGACATACGTATAAACAGTTATAATATTTCCAAATGTTTATCAATTTGTAATTCGATTTATTTTTATTTATTTTTGAAGCTATTAAATTATATACTTACACACGCATGTACATATTCGTGTGTGTATGCAGGTTAATCAAGATATTTATAGTAGATGTTTACCTTAAGCTAGCCGATAGTTGCATGCATATAATATGCAGGATATAAACATACATATCATTTTAAATTAGTTCAAACATTTATATAACATATTTAAATAGATAATTAATTTTAACAAATATAAATATATAATAAGAAATATATGAAACACTATATAACAAACTTGGGATGTGCAAAGCAACATTTCAGAAAAACAATTGAACTAAGGCAATTATTACCAAATAAAAATAAAGAAAAATATATATAAAAAAATTTATGCAAAAAATAATATTATTAAAAAAAGTAATCGGATTGTTGGTTTACAATTTTTTTCAATAATTTAAATTTATTTAAATGCAATCAAGTGTATGTATTCCCAATTATTACAAGGCACATTAAAAATAAAAAAAGGAAATATTAAAAAAAAAATATCTGTATCGAATTTAGATTTAGTTACATATACTCTATGTAATCATTAAGAAATCATTAAATTAATATAATMTGCCAGGCAAATTGTAATCAAAGAATATGGTAAAATGAGCTTTGTACATAGTTTAGTAATTAGTTGAGTATTTTATAAGATTTTAGTGTATCAAATACAGTTATATTAACATGAAAATAAAGTATGTAACAGTTTATGTAT